GGATTTTCTGACCATCCTGGCATGCTGGACAGCCTGGGCCTCTCCTACCACAGAGCCCCCCAGAAGGAGATCACAGACAAATCCCCAGGCACATGCTCACAGGCACTTTATTCTGAACACCTTCTCTTTCATTCCCATGGTTTTTGTTTTTTGTTTTTTGTTTGTTTGTTTGTTTGTTTGGTGTTAGACTGTGATATTTGGAGAGTTAGCGATGGATGGGACCCTACCCAGGTCAATCGGATACAGAGACAAACCCTGTCAGCAGTTAGAGCTACCCCTAAAGCCATCTAAACTCAATGGAGGATCACCCAAGTGGGAAATCGGTGTGGACAGTGCTCCACTAATTGGGGGTGAAGGGAGTTGGGGGTACATTAGAACTTCTACTTAAGAGCCTGACTCTCAACTGTAGCAGGAATCTTAACAATTCTTATTAATAAAATCAAACCCAGGGCCAGGTATTGGGGTGAACACTGGAAGATCAGAGAGACAGAACAAGCCACAGCTTCCTCACCTCGCTGGATCCTCAGCTAGTCTTATTTCCTCAGACTGGAGGCCTCTGAGTCCTCATCCAGAATTGGTCTGAGCTGAACTGCTGCTAGAAGCCTGAAAGCTTAACCAGCCAAAAGCTTCTAGTTCCTGGTCCTCACGCCTTATATACCTTTCTGCTTTCTACCATCACTCTCTGGAATTAAAGGCTCACTCCCTGGGATTAAAGGTGTGTGTCACCATGCCTGGCTCTTTCCAATGTGGCCTTGAACTCACAGAGATCACAGATGGATTTCTCCCTTTGGAATGCTAGAACTAAAGGCATGAGTGCTACTATTTTCTGGCCTCTGTATCTAGTGGCTGTCTGTTCTCTGACCCCAGATAAGTTTATTAGGGTGCACAGTATTTTGGGGAACACAATACCACCACACTCAACTTCTTTGTATGTCACCGTCATTGGGGACCCTGTGCTCTCTGGGGGCCTCAGCTGGAAACTGAACACACCAGGCATATCACAAAGATATACATACATACTCATAAGTAAAATAAAAATAAGCCTGTATACAGGTTTCTTTTCATTATGTGTATATAAATTATATATGTGCCACTCAGGAAGTCTCAACTGCATTTCCTCCACCTCTGCTGCCCCCTTGTGGCCTGACTGTGACAGTGTGGCCTGGACAGGGAGGTGCCATTGATTTCCCTGTTAGGCACTTTGCTGAGGAATGGTAGAGCTGTGGCCAGGCCACCACATTCTCTCCCCTCACTCCCATGTCCTCTTCTGCACATACAGCCTCATTGAGACCCAACCCACCACCACCCACTCCTCATCCTTTCCCAGACTATGCCCCCAAAGCTCTTCCCTCTCTCCAACCCTCACTTCCCCACCCCTCTCCTCCCTCCATCTTGCCCTCCATTCCCTCATCTTCCCTCACCCTGAAGTCCCCTCCCTCTCACAGCTACCCAAAAGGACCAATGGGGGAGGATGGTGGACACTGTGGTCAGCCTGAGCATCTGTAGGAGGAGACGCTGGAGTCCAGATGTTGTCCATACCTTACTCTGCACAACCATGAAACCAACTTTCCCACAACTCCAGTTTTTACTTTAAAAGGCTCAGTAGAATTACTAAATAAAATAGTTACTTTGTAAAGGCCAGTTAAAATTTTCAGGAACAGAACAAATACACATTCTTGTCCACTTATATTCCATCTCAAAAACTCAATTCTGTCTTCTTGGTTCCAAGGCAGCCATACATATTATAAAAATGAGTTACACCACTGTGTTCCAATAAAACTTTATTTATGGATACTGAAATTTGAATTTCATCTTTTCACATAGCACAAAGTACAAATTGACATTTTACATTAAATATAAACATAAGTTCACAGGCTACACAAAAAAAGTAAATTCAATTTTTCAAACTATAACTTTATGAAACAATTATCAATAAACTGGCATTAAAATAAAAGATGAATTCTTTTTAATTTTATTCATTTGCATTTATGTATGAGTGTGCTGCATGTATACCTGCCAAAAGAGAAATCGTTTAACTTGGGAAATACTGGTTACTTTTGGTTGTTCTTGTTGTTTGTCTTATTTTAAACTACAGAGGTTTGAACCCAGGGCCTCACATGAGGGTCAAATGCACTACCATGGAGTTATATCCTCAGTACTTGATTCTACAATATCTTTTCCAAAGAAATATGCATTCTGTCTCACTTAGGGTTTCTGTGCTGTGATAAAACACCATGACTATAAAGAACATGGGAGAAGAGTTTATTTCAATTGCATTTCCATCATCAAAGGAGGTCAGGGCAGAAACTCAAACAAGACAGGAATCTGGAGGCAGAAGCTGAGGCCTAGGCCATGGCAGAGAGGGCTCCCAGGCTTTCCCCCATGGCTTGCTCAGCTTGCTTTCTTACAGCCACCCTGACCAGCACTGCAGGGAGGGCACCACCCACAGTAGGCTGGGCCGTCCCCCATCAATCACTAATTAAGGAAATGACCCAAGGACTTGTGCACAGACCAAACTGATGGAGTCTTTTCCCAATTAACACTGCATCCCTCTTCCAAAATGACTCCAGCCTATGTCAAGTTGACATAAATGAATAGCCAACACAAACTGTCGTTTAATTTGTAAGGCAAACAGACCCACAATTCTAGCACAACTTCTAGACCCATTATTTCTCTATTGCTGTGCTAAAATGCCATGACCAAGCAACGTATAGAAGGAAGAGTATATTTGGGAATAGTGTGTAATGGGAGCCCACCAGAGAGGACCACTCAGACACTTCACACCCAACTGAAAGTCTCCATCCCAGCTGGCTGGGACTACACCAAGCACTCAGGGACCCAGATGGGACTACACCCAGGTCCACAGGGACCCAGATGAAGCCCCAAGTGTCCAGAGTGTGGTGCTTTTGAATTTGAAAAACACATCCTGGCATCTCACTCAGCAGCTGCAGGGGGCACTTCACACAAAAATGTAGCTTAACAGAAGCTAAGGTAAGCTAGCTGGGGCATCTTGACCTCAGGTTCCTATTATACAGTCGGGTTATTTTCCATGGGATTCTCCATCAAGGAGATCAATTCCAGCTAAATTTGAAATGTCCTCAGCAAGAAGGACAGATGGAGGAACCTCTGCACCATCTTGTTCTGTCAGCATCGTTCCAGAGGGACAAGAGTCCGTGATGACAGGGCAGAAGACAGAGGTTGGAGCAGTGACTGGGATCTTATGTCTGAACCACATGCAGAAAGCAGAGGAGGCAAGCTGGGAATGATGCATGGTTTTGAATCTTCAAAGCCCACCCTAGTGACACACTTCAAGGCTACACATCCCAAACCTACCAACATACAACCAACCGCAGACCAAGTATCCAAACATATGGGACTATAGGGGACATTCTTATTCAAAACACCACACTTGGCTACAAAGAGAGTTCCAAGCCAGCCTGGGTTACAAGAGATTCTGTTTGAAAACATAGATACATAGATACATAGCTTAAAAGAGATAGAAAGACAATAAACAGTTAAAATATATTAAACCAAACCTTAGAAAATATGAATTGTCATAGTTATGTGTGTATTTGTGTATTTGTGTGTGTGTGTGTGTATGTGTGTGTGTGTGTGTGTGTGTGTAGGAGAAAGAGACTAACATACAGAAATCAAAGAATTTATGCAAGAAATCATTGACAGACTGATAAAATGATAAGGCTGGTTCATGGAGACTTGATGAACAGGTTATTGCCCACAGAGAAGGGTCCCTGAAAGAACTATCTATAATCTAGTAATCCCACTACTAAGAACAAATCCACAGGACAGGAATTCAGGTATCAGAGACATCTGCTCCATCATATTCACTGTAGCCACTGGTCACAAGACCCAACACATAGAGCAGACCCTAGGAGCCCATGGCCAGATGAACAAATTAAAACAATGTCCATTCAGCCCTTGGTCCATTTCATGCCAAATGGTAAGAAACCCAAGAAAATGCTATTTAACACCAAAAGGAACATGCCTTCCCATAGTTCAAACCAACTGGAACAATAGTCTGGGCTCATCATCTGCTGCCTGGACACAAAGCATGGACTCCCTGTTCCCACCACCATAGCCTCAGTCACACCTGAGAGCAGTGGGTCATGGCCCCAAGTCATTCCAGGACTCATCCTGGGAGCTTAGCCTGTGGCTTCTACAGACCCACAAGGACTCACACTGACAACATAGAGGCTGAATCTGCACTATGGGAACAAAAAGTCACCAAGATGAGAGAGGAATGGGGATTCTTCCCCTGGGAGAGAGTCAACAACTCTAGAGCCTGGGCTGAGCCCCTGCCCTGGGGACTCAGAGACTCCTGCAAAGGAACCAAAAATAACTTCTTCCTCTTCTTCCCCCTCTTCTCCCTCTTCCCCCTCCTTCCCTTCTTTCCCCTCTTCCTTCTCCCCTCCCTCCTCTCAGACACATGTGCCATAGAGCTGAGAATCATTGAAACATCTCCAGACCTTAGCCTGAAGTATGGAAAAAGAGTCCCAGAGAAGGAAGCTTCATGGAAGGAGAAAATGTGGGACATGTCACTCATGTTGTAGAAGGAAATGTCGCCTTCACTGTAGTCCACAAACACCCCCACACTCTCGGGAACTTGTCTAAGGGACAATGAAGCCCTCCCATTGTCTATATAGGCCCAGTAGCCACTACTAGTTCGTCCCACAGTCCAAAACCCCTTCTCTGGACTCTCAAAGTACAGGCCTTCCCTCTCCACATCTTCCCTACAGACGCCCAGAATCCACCTGCTGCTATCTCCATTCTTTATCTTCACCTCCCAGTAACATCTTCCGGAGGAGATGCCTTCAGTGCCCAACACATAGAAGAGGCCATCCAGGCACATAGTGGTATCTTTCCAGGTCACGCTCATCCTGTCCTGAGAGATGGCAAGGATGGGGTGGGCAGAGTCTGGATCCAGAGTGACAGACCCTGTGAGGAGAGTTTCCAATCATAGGAGGTCCTCTCCAGCCCCCAAACAAGGCCACAGCTGTCCCACCTCCACCTCAAAAGCTCTTAGCTTCTTCTAGGGGAACAAGTCCCTCACAGAAGAGCCTGTGGCTCAAACCCATGGCTTGCAGCAGGGGAAGGGAACAGAAGGCTGACCAGGGCTTACAAGGTCACAGGGCCCTTGAGAGCCAGACCCAGCTTAGTGGCTGTCCCTCTGCCTCCCACACCACCACCACTGAAACTGTCACCACCTAGATCACCACAGGGGACTGAAGGAGAGACCAGAGCCACGGGAAGACCAGGAGGAGCGTCCCTAAGGAAGACAGAGTCACTCACAGGCCTGGAAGTGTTCCTTGCGCCAATCTACAAGAAAAGAACAAGTCATGTGAGGGATTTCACACACTACACCCATCTGTTCCATGACTGTCTTATGAAACACAGACCTTGGAGTTGTGGGGACAATGTGTCTCTCTGTTATACACACAAAAACACACACATAAATACATATACACACAGAGAGACACACAAACATACACACACACTCATAATCAGGTCCTGTTGTAGCCTTTCCATAAAGACTTGACCAATGGAGCTTAACGTCCATCCCTATTAAAGGCAGAAGAGTGATGTAGTATGTATTCTCTCACTATGCCTTGTCAGGTCCCAGACACACAACCATCCTGGAAGCTATACATCCTTGAATATGAAAATTTCCAAGACGGGGGGAAGGGACCTGATGAAGCAGGGGGCCTTTGAGTTTGAGACAGCCTAAGCTACATGATGAGTTAGAGACAGCCTGAGCTACATGGTAAGGTCCTGTATGAGTATGTGGATGGCTCTGCACAGTACAGTGCTTTAAGGTCATTGTTTGATCATACAGATCCACAAACAAACAAAACATCCTCAGAGGTTAAGAGCACTTGAAGCTCTTGCAGAGAACCAAGGTTCAGTTCCCAGCATGCACATAGATGCTCATGATCATCTGTAACTCCAGTTCCAGAGGATCTAACACACTCATCTAGACTCCAAGAGCACCAGACATGCACATAGTACACAGACATACACTCAGGCATAATATTTATACAGATAAAAATAAATACTTAATTAGATAAATAAAATTTCCTGTGAGAAGTTCTAAGTTGCACTCTGGTTCCCATGATACAAACATCACAGAAAGTCATGTGCAATTTCAAATAGATCACACATGCATCAGCAAGACTATAAACACCCTGGAGTCAATGGACACCTGGTCTAAACACCCAATACCTCAGCAGCAGGTACTCTATAGAAGGACTCCAGCTGGAACCACAAAGCAGAGGAGTGGGAGAAGGAGGGAGGGAGAGAAGGACAGAGAGAGAGAGAGAGAGAGAGAGAGAGAGAGAGAGAGAGAGAGAGAGAGAGAGAGAGAACATCAACAGACCAGAGGACTTGGAAAAAAAGGAACTCAAAACTGAAATAAAAGGATAGGAACCCCAACATTAAGACTATCTTAGGGAGACCTGAGTCCTAAGCTGCATGCGCAGACTTCTGAAGTCTTCCAGAAAGTAGTAATTCTAATCCACAGGGTCTAATCCACATGGCCCTCCACAAGTCTATAATCAAAGCTTAACTCCCACTAACCCTGCACCTGAAAAAGGTCCACTGAACCAGGAGTTTGCAGACTGGGCCATTGGGGTGATATATTGTATACCCCAATAAAGCTTGTCTGAGGATGAGGGAAACACAGCCAACCACTAGATTAGACATAGAGCCCAGGCAGTGGTGGCACACACCCTTAATCTTATCACTTAGGAGGCAGAGATTAAGATTTCTTAAAGGGAGAAATTAGTTAAAAGAGAATTTTTTCCCACATTAAAAAATGGGGGGGCTGGAGAGATGGCTCAGAGGTTAAGAGCACTGGCTGCTCTTCCAGAGTACCTGAGTTCAATTCCCAGCACCCACATGGTGGCTCACAGTCATCTGTAATGAGATCTGGCTCCCTCTTCTGGTGGTGTGCAGACATACATGTCAGCAGAACCCTGTATACATAATAAATAAATAAATCTTTAAAAAAAAAAAAAAAAAAAATGGGAAACATTTTTACAATGAAGAGTTTTGGTCTCTGTTTGATAATATGATTGATGTTCTGAAAATGGAACAATTATATGAGAGGATAATTAATGTAGATGGGATTAAGTAATGTCAATTATAAATTATTGTTTGATAATTTTGTTTTATTGTTAAAAATTTGGTTAATATGAGTGCAAAGATAAAAGTTTTAGAAAAACTTGTTAAAACAGATCATAGAGATATTCAGACACAGAGGAATTTAAAGATGAACCAATCTCAGCATTGTATTATACGGTTACAGAGAAACAGCCTAAGGCTTTCCAAGAGCCAACCTTAATCTATCCAGTAACATTACAGGAACTGCCAATGCTCAAGGCTGTGGGGGGGGGGGGCGTTTACCCACTAACCCCACAGCTCCCCAGAGTTTTCTTGAGTGCAAACAGCAGGAAATATTAGATAGAAGGATTTATTGCGAAGAATATCGCGGAGATAAACAGACAGAAAATAAAGGATAGCCTCGAGAGGGCCTGGAACCTATTCCAATGGGCCCTGACTGTCTCTGCCCCAGGGTTTTTATAGAGATGCCAAGGGG